TTTAAAAATTTTTAACTTTTATTCTTCTTAACCTTTGGCACCTTCAATAAAATTGGCTAGCTCCGCCCCTGTGCACAAGAGGTAACAATTTTGTTCATGAAACTTTCTAATTGTTACAAGAAATAAGGATTTTTAGTGCTTAATTACTTGTAATATTTTGACCTTTTTAATAATTGATTCTCTTTAGGCAATTTTGAATATTGAAGTACCTTTTACATTTATTTTTTCTATTAAAAAAAGTTACTAATTAACATTAAAGCAATGGAGTATGAAAATAGCAAAATGAGTTACATTAATTGAAATGAAATCTCGAACAAGTTCTTGTATAATTGTAATTTAATAGTAAATCTAAATATGAGATAGTGCACATTTCAAAAAAAAATGGTATAAAACAATTTTATTAGTAAGTTTGTTTCAAATAAACTTATAATTACATATAAGTGAAATATGTAAATTCTTTTTATATAATAACATTCGGAATGAAACTCCTAACTCAGGTGAGAAGGTTATAACAATCCTAATGAACAATAAAGTTACATCCATATTCTACACACTAAAAAGTCAAATCTTGACAAGGCTTATTACATTTAAGGCATCCAAGATATTGATGAATCTTTTTGACAAACATGAGAGGATGTTGATGATCTCCAATTTGACAGATGCTCTCGAGCTTGATAAATGGATATCTTTTGAGAACATATTGAGGGTGAACAGAAGTGTTGCAAATTATACAATGATAAAACCATTGTTTTGGATTTCTTCTTTCTTCACAGATATCACAATAATGATCTTCTGAATGATCATTACTATCATGATAAGTAAGCACAAGAAGATGTTCATCATGTTTGTACTAAACTACTTGTGGTAAGGTTACACAAAAGTTATCTAAAGCAAAATTGCAACTCTTACAACAGTATCCTTGGTCCATGTATTTACCACAAGCGTTGCACGATCCTTCATAACTATAGTAAAATAAGAGGGTGTGTTCATGTCCATCACAAGTGAAAATATCAAGAATTGAGCGACGAAGGTAGCAAAAACTCTCACATCTATGACAATTATAAGAAAAGCCACTGCACACGTATTCATAGATTTCACATATGAAAACATTGTTTGAAATGAGGAAGACAATGCCTTGGTACAAGTGAGACGAAAGTCGTGTCTTCTGAAGCAATTCAACACATGTTTTATGAAGAAAGAAATCACATTGTAAACAATAGTAAAAGGAAGTTGAGATTCGCAACATGCACCCATCACAACATTTATAGTATTCAATGACCATCTTTGCTTAGTATTAAGTAATGATCATGGCTCAAGTGTTTTATCTTTGTGGCTTTTCGAACTCAATAAGACGAGTGATGGAATCAACAAATATATCAGTCAGTAATAAAAGCTTCTAAATTTAACAAGCTTCGACCGCTAAATGCTAATTGATAAAATATCTTTAAATTAACATTTTAATCTTTTAAATATACTTTGAAATTAAGTTTAAATTTGAATAACAAGTAAATTATTACTTTAAGAAAATAATAAGTCAATAACTTTGAATTGGACAAGACTAAGTATTTATTTGGCTTGACTTTTTTTTAGCTTATTTACCTCTTAAAAGTAAAAGCTGGGTTAAACAAAAATTTAGAAAAGTTTTTAAAAAAATAAATAGTTTTTTTTTTAAAGAACAAAATTTTGAAAAAAAGAGCTTTAGAAAAAGCTTCAAGGAGGAGCTTTCTCTCCTCATTTTTTTAGAAACACACCTCTTTTTTAGGAAAGTTTTTCTTTTTGTTTCAAAAATATCCTCATCTATTAAAAATAATTTCAACATTATCTGATTTTATTTTTATATAATTTATTATTAATTATAAATTTTATATTATATAAAAATA